CCAAACCCCCCCCCCCCCTCCAAACCAACAAAAGCCCCAACCCCCAACCAAACTCCCAAATTCTCAAACAACATCTAGTTTGATCTCTCTATGTATATATGCATATATGTAGAGACTCTTATCATTGTATGTTTTATAGAGGTCATAAATGCTAAATTATTTTGTATGCAGAGAAATTCTTTTTATAACTTGAGTTTGTAATGTACGAGTCAAGGAAAAAAAATAATCTTAAACATGTGCTAAGATTCATTCTCATATAAGAAGGTACAACAACTCAAATCGGTGATTTGAGCAAAAAAAACCCACTAGTATATTGTGAGAATTTAAGTTTTAGATTGAATCAGTTTCAAAATAAACAAAATTAAAGTGCATGCAATTATACATAAAAATAATATATTATCTATGCGAATGTGATATTTGAATACAAAATTAAAAAAGGACTAAAGTTGAAAAGTTTTATTAAGTTTTAAAATATTAGGGTTGTTGTATCGATATAGAATATATTAGAGGATCGTCAAATAATAAGTTTGTAAATTGGAGGTGTTGTCCTAGTTTATAAAAGCCAAAACACCATTTTCATTTGTCCTTTATGTTTCCTTAGAAAGACCCAGCCCCAGTTTTTTTTTCGTAGGGGAAAATAAGAAAGCGGTGAAAAAGAACATTCAAAAAGACTATCCTGCGATAGACGTTCACTGTTGGGATCATGAGGCATGTGACCGTATCTGTTATTCCTCTCGAAAATGATCATAGTTAGACTGACATAGCGGTCGATCATTAAATTTCAGTTTAAACTCCAAAAGTCAAACCTCCAAGTTGAAGTGAAATATTCAGCCGATACTCTATCGGACCCACTCGGTGTTGCCTTTGCCCAAGTTGTCAATACACCAAAGCAAAACATAGAAGAGGCCTAATTCCAGTCAACAAGACAATAAAATACTAACCCCCCACGTTACTTAAAATGAAATGTATTGGTGTATAGAGGTTCCAATTTTGAGTTTTAAGTTTATTTCATGTGCATGATAAAAACCAATAAACTATTGGTTTAATAGTATCAACCCAAGAGGTAGTTTAATGTGATTGAGTCTGACCTCTGATAATTTAAAAGTTTTAAATTTAATATTTTTTTGGATATTTGTTTTAAACCCATTCGAACTACGACAACAAGTTGATATGAATAAATAACAAGACGTTCTGTGATGGAAGACAATGATTGCTTAAAGCTTGAGTGAGAAATTTTCCAATAAAACTCTTCCGTCACACTTGGGTGAATGATTAATCTTAATCATACATGCTTGTTACGTATAGTTGCTATGAATTCACGAACATCCTTTTTTTTCACTAAGCAACCATAAATAGGTATATGAACACATCACAACATCATAATTTTTGGAGCATCCTCCTCCATTAGTAACACAAAAGAAGTTGAACACGTCCGAATTAAGCTAATTAATTTTCATTTTTTTTATGTGTATGAGGAAATCAAATTGATCATATACTCTCAACCTATAGGATGGAATTCTAATTCAAATCGGACTAGTCAGATATGAATTCATATTTTTATTGATGATTCGAATTTAAAATTTTATATTTAATGGATTTGAATTTGGATGACCTGAATTATTTATATATTTTTATATAAATATTAAAAAAAATAAATAATTATTTAATTTATTAATCTAAGTCACTATTAGTTAAAAGGAAACTAAACAGTCTTCTAACCATCTCTCTCTCTCTCTCTCTTGCTGAAACTGTGAAACAGTGTCTGCTCTCTCACTGCCATCGCCTGGGAACAATGGAGGACCCCGGAACACNGCCATCGCCTGGGAACAATGGATGACCCCGGAACACTTCGAACCTCCGGCAACGCCTCTCTCAAGATTATGGCAATTGCTGCCGGAGAAGCTCATACTCTCGCTCTCACAGGTATCTTCCCATTTTATGCTCCAGAACTGATAATATACACATTGGTTACATATTTGTTTGAAAATATTTATGTTGTTTTGTGAATTAGAAGAAGTTAGGGTTTTATTTGGGGGCGTGTTTGGTTGTGAATAAGCAGGGGATGGGACTGTGTACTCGTGGGGAAGAGGAACATTTGGGCGACTTGGCACCGGCTCGGACACCGACTTGCCTTTTCCGGTCGGAATTGACTTTGATTCGGCCAATATTGAAGGAGGAGGGCGACTCAAGATTGTTGGGATTGCTGCTGGTGCTTATCACAGTCTCGCTCTTACAGGTCCGCTTCTTTAGGAATTTCAATTTGTTCTTTTTTTTTTTTTCATGTCAATGTTTATTAGTTAAATGCCCATCACCTGTATGAGACAAATCCTCTAAGATGGAAGTTTTGTTATACATACCATTAGTTGCTGTGGTGGATTTTTAGCGCTGCTGAATACTTTTTTCTTATCTATTAACAAAGAAATTTGTACTGAAATGTTTGAGATGGTTGCGCGAAAAAAATTTCACTCAGATGATAATTCTTAATTTTTTTTCCCCTCAAATCCAAAATAGCAAAATGGTAATTCTGACTGTTAATTATTGGTAATTCTAGCTGCAAAATTCTATGATCGAGCTACTATATATATTGTGAATGGAAGCTCATGAACATGAACTCCAATCTGTGATTAATGCTGCCTTGGTTCAATTGACAACTTGACTTGATGGTAAAGGTGGTGTTGGAGGATCAGACACCAGGGCTTGAATCATTGGGATTGGGGTTGGTAAACAGTTATTTTATTGCTAACAATTGAACAGAAATGTTTTAGTTTGGAGGCAGTTAGGGGTCATGTTTGAAGCATCAGGCCTACAATATCACTTAAAAAAGGAGCCGGGGTTTGAGACTTTTGAGTATTTAAGGATTATAAGAATCGACAGGGTTTGGTTGCTTGAGACAATTTGAGCACAATGTTATGTCATCTGATCCCATACAAAACCACACATGTTGACTGATAGTTGTCCATTGATTATTGCTTTATTTATTATTTTTTCATTGGTCTGGTACATGAAGTGTTGAGAGGAACAGAACTTGTGATGAATAGACTGAGCGAAAGATTAACATTATTTTGGTTCTTGCACTGACCTATCACCGTCTGAGAATGATTGCTTAAAAGTTCTTGTGGAAAGAAGTGGAACGCCAAACAAGTTAAACAACTATGCAGCTTAAACTTGTTAGGAGAGGAGATGGTCGGCTTCTACACTTACCAATGGGTTGGAACTTTTTTTCATATTTAGGTTCATACCTCCTTAATCCTTCCTTTGTTTAATCCTCCATTTCTTTTATTTTTATTGATGTGTTGCACTGCAGAGTATTAAAAAAGTACCACAATAGAAAACTATAGGAAAAAGCTATGGTTGATTTCTAATAGAGGATTTGAAATCAGTGGATTTGAGGCTCTGATATCTGAATGAGAGACTTTAGGAAGAGGAGATACCAGAGGTTGAATGTTATGAGTCAGACTCCTGCTACTACTACAAAAATATTTAGTAGGAAGGATTTTTTATAGAATCCTTTCACTAGGCATTTCTAATCCATATATAGAAGGCTGAAAATTTGTCTGAATTTGTTGTTCAAATCCAACATTAAGTTATGAAATCCTTAAACAATACCTTTAGGATGCTGAGTCAAATCAAAATCCAAATCCACCAATTCCAATCCCATCTATTCGAAGGAGCCCAAATTTAATTTCAATTGCTATTACTGTTATTGTCAACAAATAGAATGTCATGTAATTGTAGTTGGATCTGATTCTATGTTTCTCTAAATTTTCTTCTCTTCTATCCATGGATTTGATGACAGATGATGGATCAATTTGGAGCTGGGGCTACAATAGATGTATCCTTTAGACGACACCTTTTCGCTTCTATTGCATTGAACGCCTGGAGTATGAAATTTGCAATACAATCATTTTCTCTTCCTGCTTGCTATTTTTGTACTTGAGTATTCATCCTTAACTGTTACATGGATGGCCAACTTGGTCTCAACGCAGAGAATNGCATGAAATTTGCAATACAATCATTTTCTCTTCCTGCTTGCTATTTTTGTACTCGAGTATTCATCCTTAACTGTTACATGGATGGCCAACTTGGTCTCAACGCAGAGAATTCTTTAGTTCCCCGAATGTTAGAGGGGTTCCTTGAGTTGGGCTCACCTAATTCTCTGATGGATGAGTCAGGAACAAGTAGTAGAACCCCATTGAAGGTATGGAATTCATTATTATGTTGTTGTGCCCGAAAAGAATCTGGCGCAGTTTAGTCCTTACATGTTATGCTGCATATCAGTCAGTTTTTTCACTCCCTGTCCCAGGTTTCTGCTGTGAAAGCTGGAGGAATGATGTCGCTAGCAATTGACGATCTCGGAGGTCTATGGATGTGGGGCAACTGTCCTCAACAAAACAGCTCCAGTGAAGGGGCATTTTCACTTTTCAGCAGTTCGGCTCCAATACCTGTCTGGGATTTCCATGGCCACACAGTTGTTAAGGTGGCTTGTGGGAATGAGCATGTTGTAGCATTAGTTAGTGCTGGAGAAACATATACAGGCAGTGATCTTATATGCTACTCCTGGGGTAACAATAACCATGGCCAATTAGGCTTGGGAGACAACGAGAGCAGGCTACGTCCCGAAGTTGTTGAAGCATTTAACGTGGAATCTCCTTGGGCAGTTTATGAAGTTGCATGTGGGGCTTTCCACACGGCTTTACTAGCTCACAAAAAGATATCTGCTGATGCATTAGAAAGTGTGTGCTGGACATTTGGTTTTGGGGATAATGGGCAGCTTGGTCATGGAACCACTAGAAGTTCTTTGTCACCTGAACCTGTCGGATTGCCAGATAATGTATTCCTGATTTCTGTTGACTGTGGCTTGTTTCACACTAGTGTTGTGTCATCAGACGGAGATGTGTGGTCGTGGGGAATGGAGAAAGGCCTGGGTCTATGCCCTGATGCTAGTTTTACTGGAACTGATGCTGGGGATGCTATTTCTCCATTGTTGATTGATTGTGATAGGCTATATGGACCTAAATTTCCAGAACCTGTTCAGGTTGCATGTGGGGCGGCTCATACCATTCTTGTTGCTGATGCTGGATATAAGCTCTGGTCTTGGGGCAGGGGATGGAGTGGGGTCCTTGGAAATGGTAAGATGGTTGATTGTTATGCTCCAACTATTGTGTTGTGGCCACCACTAGAAAAGGACTTTAAGGAAGCGACCGTGGACAATGTTGGTGGAGATAGAAAGAGTGTCGGAAAAAATTCTGAACAGATCATAGAGATGGAAAAGAGACTGTCTGTGGCAATGGAAGAGATGAAACTCCTTCGTTCGAAACTTTCCACAATGGAACAATATGCTAGCATCCTCCATGGTTCAATTTTTGGAAAGCCTTTTGAAGAGCAAGATATTCCAGTCTCGTTACAGAACTCGGGTACTTTTGATATTGCAAGAGAGTGGGAGAACATGTTGGAGTCATCGGATCGTGGTAAGCTCGTTCGTTTGGAGATGTTTTACCGCAAAATGCTTGCCGGTGTTAAAGATAAGTTGATGAAGAAAAGGATTCAGGAAATTGTAAAGGAGTGTATCAGTTCTTCAACAAGCAGAAATTAGTCAAGAAAATGATGATAATCAAGTTTATTTAGATATTATAAGTTTGAGAAAAATAAAGCCAGTTTGATTGTAATTCCAATACACGCTACAACATTATTTGTAATAGTGGGTCTTTGGCGTAACGATAAGGTAGGTTGTACACTGAACTGTTTTTTCATTTCTTTTAGAATATTGTTGTATCCAATGAAATTGATGACGACGAATTGCCATGCTTCTCCTATGTAACAACTGAGGTTGTACCAAGTTTCAAACAAGGGAAAAAAGTATAAGAACAGAGAAACTTATGCAACACACTGTAAGTTGTAGCAACGTTTTTGTTTGAGAATATATAAATAAATAAATAAAAGGGTGACATGATCAGCAGTTTTTTTTTTTTCTTTCGTTTTCTTTTTCCAATAATCTTTTTTATTTCATAACAAGGACACCGATTTTATAAAAAAAAATCGAGCATTGATCTGCAAATTTTTAAAATGGGGAAAAAACCTTTCCAATTCCCCTTTTTTCATGTGAAATTACTATTAAATCAATACCTCTAGAGCCTCGAACTTAGAGCCCTAAGATATTAACTATTACAATTTTATTAATCAATCTAGATACCAATATTAAAATCAATATATATGAGCAAAAATTTTACCAGTGTATTATTTGTATAATCGGTTCTAATACGTGAAATACTACAATTATTGAAAACCTGATTAGATTTTATATATAACTATGTAATATTAATAAACTACTAGTGATGACTTGGAAAAAAAAATTACAAATATTGTGCCTAAAACTCTCCATTTCAAACATATTTAATTAATTAAGTGAATTTTAATTTACCCAAAAAAATTAAATGAATCTCACATAATTAATTAACTAATCTAATAATAGCTCCATATAAGTCAATAGGGAAACTTACTTTGCACCTCAAAAGATTTAATTTTTTTTTTACTTTTACCCTTAAAAATAATATTTTTTATATTATATCTTTAATATATTAAAAGTGTTCTAATGTAGTCATTTCGTTATCTTCTGTTGTTTATTCTGCCAAAACTCACTCCACTAAAATTGATGAAATAAGTAATAAAACTAACGGAATGGCCAATTGCAGCAGTTTTAATACAATAAGAGTACAATATAAAAAATTTAATCTTGAAGAGTGTACAATCAGAATTTTTGAATCTTTAAGGGCATAAAGTATAATTTACCCAAGATAATAAAATTCACTTACTCAGTTAACGGTGTTCTTCGCTGAATATTTGCTTGTCACTCTAAAACCCTAGAAAACCTCTACAAGCCCCAATAAAACGTCATACAGCCAAGTTTCCGGCGAAAAATGCCCGGCCTTGCATCAGATCCCGGTNGAAAACCTCTACAAGCCCCAATAAACCGTCATACAGCCAAGTTTCCGGCGAAAAATGCCCGGCCTTGCATCAGATCCCGGTGATGATATGTCTCTCATCCCATTCCCATCCGAGACCCCGAATCTTGTAATCTACCCTCTCCACCACGGCCTCAAACCCCCGATATCTCCTCGCCTCTCAATTTCATGGTCACGTGGCAACACCCTTCGGGTGTCAGTCTTCCGGCTATCGGGGTCTGAAGTCGTGGCCGAAGGTGGAGATTCGGATTGTGAAGTTGGCGGGAAAGTGGTGGAGGTGAAGCTCGGCACTGGAGATGGTGAGATTAATGAAGTGCAGTGGCGGAAGATCGCTTACGGTTCGGTCTCTCCGTTTGCAATGCTTCAATCTCGGAAGAATTCCATGTCGGCTCTGTCAAAAATGTCGATGGATTCGTCTCCCTATAGTTCTGAGTGGTAATCAACTTTATGAACCTATAATTTGATTAATTTCACCCACATCTATATATGACCATTGTTATATATATATGCATACATACAGGAATAAATGAATCTATATAACACATGAACACTACATTATTTTGGTATTGTTTGTGATGTATTGAGAATTGGATTTTTTTTAGCTATTAGTGAGTTTAATACACATAACCAGATGAGAAAATTGTTTATGTAAAGTGTGCAAGTTAGGATAGTTGTCAACATTCCCGAAAAATGGGTAGTTAGTTTTTTCAACTAATGCATACAGAATATCACTCATCTATCCGCACTTTCAAGATGTAGAAGGTTTTTGAGTATGGTCATGCTGATAGATAAGAAATGAAGACCATGTTTTGTGATATCATTTATAGTTTTTTTTATTTGCTTGTTTTCAAAGGATGTGCATTGTTGAAGTATTGGAGGTAGCTAATGCAAAAATTGGACTTCATAGCTGTGTCAAGCTTTCCCTTTACATATTGGTGATTAATGTCAAAGCTGTTGTTACTAGTCAGCTAGTTCAAGTTTCAACTAGCATGAATCTTTACTTAGTAGCCTAATATTTGACGAATCTGCCTATAGGTTGGTCAAACATACCATCATTACTCAGTTGTTTAATGTTACAAAGGTAGCTTATTGAAAAATGACATAAAGCTAGAGCTTGAGTGTGAAGTCCTTCCCAGTTTCTCTGCACAGAAATTTGTCAATCCTAAAAAAGGATGTATATGAGAGGTTTTAGTACAAACCCAAGGTTCTATTTCATTAAGGAAAAAGAAAAACGATAGCTATTTACCTGTTCCATGTTGGTTTACCTTACTTTAGAGTGAGTAGATAGTGTCTTCTAATTTGGCAGTAAAGAAACCGAATATGATTTAGCCCCTAGCCAAAAATTCTAGTGTAGCATAGAAAAATTAGAAATTGACAGGAATTAGCTCTTTTTATCTCTTTGACAACACTATAAACTCTATATTGGATATCACACCTCTCCTTTTTTCCCACCCTTGTCCTTTTAGTTTTGTTTGTAAACAACTAGTCAAATGCATACGTGCGTTGCGCGTTAATCATTTTAAACCATAATTTGATTTTTTGTTTTTATTTGCAAACCATTTGAAATATATGTAATAAAGGTTAAGAAATTACAGCATCTAAAAACTGTTTAATATTCTAGAAACAAGATATAGGATTCACATGTATATGATTTAGTATTTGTCATTAATATGAGGATAAAAATCCTTATGGTATTTCAATCCTAATAAAACACGCAAGCAAATAATTTTGTCTTGAAAATTTCTGGTTAGTTTGATATAGGAAATTTTGATACCTTATGCCAACAAAATTGGTAACTTTGGGTTATAAACCCAACCATATATTTGAGTCATTTAAGTAAATATCTAAGGAAAAATTAATCTGTTAGGAATTAATTTTTGGTTTGTAGATCTTAACTAGAAGAGTCCAAAACAATTTAGTGGTCAAATGAATTTTATCTAATCTTAGAGAAAGTATGAAGAACTTGATGAGTGTTCTATGATTAAAAAGGATTTGGAAGTCAAAGATCCTAGTAGGAGGGCTAGAATTTATGCGTTCTATGTTCAAAAGGATTTGAAAATCAAAGTGTCTAATGGTCGGACTAGAATTTATATCCTAATAGGATATTGAAGGAATATGGAAGTTAATTATTAAGGATACATTTGAGAAAAAAAGTATGATCAAAAGACCTGTTAGGTTATGATTGACTTTACAATATTGGTTAGGGAGAAAATAAGAAATGAAGAGTTTTCTCAATTTGTTGACATTTATAAGTGATATAGATTTATTGAAATCGACTTACAAAATCTCTTCTAAATGATGAAAAGGATCCATCCCTTTTGTTACCCTTAGAAGCCTTAAAATAGAGCCCATGAACAATGAAACTAATGCATTGGTACATGATTCCCCGGTAGACCCCATTTTGGAAGAAGCACCAATTTAATTCCTATTGCAATATAACTATCAAGCACATTTCTCTGCAAGATAACTTCTTGTAATTTACAATAAAACAAGCTGAATGTTTTCGGTTTTCTTTTCCCTTTCTGCTCATCCTCACTCTTACTCAACACTATAAGTGTTGATTAGTTTTGAGGCCACCCCCCCTCCTTTTCCCTTCTAAAATGATGTTTTAAGATATTCCAGTAGCTTATTTTATCTGCTTGTCAGTTTTAGAAAGAACAGTCACACTTTCTGAAACAATCAGGTGGGAATATGTGATGGAGTATAGCAAGGAGATAAGTTCTCTTCTTTGTAATCCAAAATTGCCTCCCACATCAGTGATTGAAGACCCAAAGACAGTTTTAGAGGTGAATCTGTCTTTTGATTGGGCTTGTGACTTTCTTGTTGTGCTTTGACTACTGTCCATTTAGTTTGGACTGTAAATGTGTACATTTGTGCAAGCTTCCTCGCTCAACTGGTGTTGGATTTTACACAGAAATTTGAGGTGCCAACCTGTTTGAAAGCTGCATGGGAGCTGATGGAAATATTTTATACGGACAAGCAGGCTCAAGCTTGGCTTCCTGAACGGCTTATTGACTGGTTAGCTGTAAGGATTATTTTATTTGCTTAATTTGTCAGCTCAATCCATTTTGGCATTTCTCTTTTCTTGGAAGAAATCTTAATATCTAGCATATTAATGCTGTATTTCTCGACAGGATTATGATAGTCTGTTTTCTGGAACATTGCCAACAGTCCATTCGAAACTCGTGGACTTTCAAAACAAACTCCTGACTTTGCAGGTTTGACAATGATCTGATGTTTCGATCTCCTTGCTTGAATTGCTTCCATCTATGTTAATTTAGAAAAAGAAACGAAATTTGATGTTTCCATAATTTTGGCCTTAGTGGGTTTCTTTGACCCTTTCTCACGTAGCAAAACTTCTTGTGGCACTTAACTGAAGCTTGCAGGAGGGTTTGGGGAGAAAAATACCCTTTTATCCACTCTGCCCTTAAAATAATAGTGCAATAGCTGCCATTTTTCCTTTAGCCTTTTTTCTTTCTGCATTAAACATGATGGATGAATAATTTCAAAATTATAATATTCTTGTTAACTTGTCTTCCTCCGCATTTGGGCATCCTAGAATTTTGGTTCGGTTCTGTTTTGGCTGAACTATTCACACAACCTGGTCATACAGTGGGCCTTTCAGAAATTTTCGGTCTATAAGAATTTCGTCCAAATTCCTTTATACCTAGTTAGTTATTGGATTTTTTTAGTGCATGCAATCCTGCGTAGGTAAAGAACAAGTAAGATTTAATGTTAGGATGGTCTTCTCAGGCAGTTGAAGATGATCCTAAATACTGGGAAGCAATAACTTCAGCACTGGCAGTTGGATGGCTGGAGATTGTGGTGAGTGTTGTTATTCGAAATTTTTTTTGCAGTGGTGGTGAAACAAATGTGAGATTCATAGTCCTCGCTTGTAGGTGAAGCTGTTGCGCTTACATGGATCTTATCAGTTTGATCAACTGGGGAATCGTGAGGTTAGTAAGAATCCATTAGTTGTGCATTAAACATGAGAGGTGTACTTTAAGTCACTCTACATGGCCTCTCAATGTATTCCTATCATTGTGTGTTAAGTTTTATCTTACCATTTCTTGGTTGCCCGTGCTAATTCTCCATTCCGCCTTTCTTGGTTCTCTGCATGTAGGGGGCTATTATATTTTCCATATTCTCAAGTTTTTGGTAAATTATATTGACAACCCTTGACTTTGGGTGAAATAAAATGACAGTGTCAGGGCATTTGAGAATGGNCAAGTTTTTGGTAAATTATATTGACAACCCTTGACTTTGGGTGAAATAAAATGACAGTGTCAGGGCATTTGAGAATGGGACGGAGACCTCTTGTCCATAGTTTTAAAATCCGGTCAGAACATCAACTCGGGAAGGTTATTGGGTCAATGAGTTAGTGGTTCAACCGTTGAGTTACTAGTAGAATCGGTAATATAAAAAAATAAAATTATTAATGATAATATATATGATAAAAAAATCGCNTGGGCCTTTCAGAAATTTTCGGTCTATAAGAATTTCGTCCAAATTCCTTTATACCTAGTTAGTTATTGGATTTTTTTAGTGCATGCAATCCTGCGTAGGTAAAGAACAAGTAAGATTTAATGTTAGGATGGTCTTCTCAGGCAGTTGAAGATGATCCTAAATACTGGGAAGCAATAACTTCAGCACTGGCAGTTGGATGGCTGGAGATTGTGGTGAGTGTTGTTATTCGAAATTTTTTTTGCAGTGGTGGTGAAACAAATGTGAGATTCATAGTCCTCGCTTGTAGGTGAAGCTGTTGCGCTTACATGGATCTTATCAGTTTGATCAACTGGGGAATCGTGAGGTTAGTAAGAATCCATTAGTTGTGCATTAAACATGAGAGGTGTACTTTAAGTCACTCTACATGGCCTCTCAATGTATTCCTATCATTGTGTGTTAAGTTTTATCTTACCATTTCTTGGTTGCCCGTGCTAATTCTCCATTCCGCCTTTCTTGGTTCTCTGCATGTAGGGGGCTATTCTATTTTCCATATTCTCAAGTTTTTGGTAAATTATATTGACAACCCTTGACTTTGGGTGAAATAAAATGACAGTGTCAGGGCATTTGAGAATGGTACGGAGATCTCTTGTCCATAGTTTTAAAATCCGGTCCGGACATCAACTCGGGAAGGTTATTGGGTCAATGAGTTAGTGGTTCAACCGTTGAGTTACTAGTAGAACCGGTAATGTAAAAAAATAAAATTATTAATGATAATATATATGATAAAAAAATCGTAGTAAGTATAAAGGAATTATAATTATAAAAACAATTTTGAAAAATCACTAATCCGACTTTTGCAAAAGGACCACGGTGGAATTTGACTTGAGATGTGGATTCTACATTCTATAGTACCCTCGCCATCCCAAAAACCGCAAATAGAAAGGATGAAAAGGAAAGCAAAAATAAGAAGCAAATAATATGAATGGAAAAGATTTAAAAAAAAATTGCTCTTAATTGCATAATTATTGAAATTGCTAATTTGTTAAATGTTGAGAATTGAAATAGGCCAAAATTTATACAAATCAACTAAATTTAAACTAATAGTAGAGAGAGAGAGAGACTTCGGCGGCGTGAGAAGGAGAGGCAGAGTGGGAGAAACACAGATGGTCAAGCAAATTTGGGCAAATGCCTTAAAAGGCTGAAACTTCGTTTTTTATAACATTTATATTAATCAGTTTGGTTTGTCCAAAACTGTCCGGTTCCACGGGTTTGATAAAGAACCGGTCGGGTCTGCNAGAGAGAGACTTCGGCGGCGTGAGAAGGAGAGGCAGAGTGGGAGAAACACAGATGGTCAAGCAAATTTGGGCAAATGCCTTAAAAGGCTGAAACTTCGTTTTTTATAACATTTATATTAATCAGTTTGGTTTGTCCAAAACTGTCCGGTTTCACGGGTTTGATAAAGAACCGGTCGGGTCTGCGAGTTTTCTTCGNTTTTATAACATTTATATTAATCAGTTTGGTTTGTCCAAAACTGTCCGGTTCCACGGGTTTGATAAAGAACCGGTCGGGTCTGCGTTTCTATGCTCAAACGATCTAATAAGATAACCAGGTTCTGGCTCCGGTTCATCGAGTTACCATGTCAACCAGCTGGGCTGGGTTTTAAAACACTGCTCTTATCAAAATTTTTCGTTAATGAAATAACTATTTTGTCCTTATTTTATTGTGTTAAAAAAATTATGGAATTTACAAACATAATTTTGTTGATAGTAGTGAACCATTAACTATTTCAAAAGCTTAAGTTGATAAAAAAGAAGTAACGAATAATTATGTTCTTCAATACTCCCCTTCACATACTGGTTAAATTTTGTGCTATACATGTAGAATTCTTTTAATAATCAAGACCTTCGGTTGTACTAACATATTAAAATATTTAACTCAAAATCAATTGACTATAAGTGGAGAGACATACAAGGCTCATCTAAAGCATCCAACTCAAAACTAATTGGCCATAGGTGGATAGGCTCACATTCAAATTAAGGAGGTGTTATATCGACTTTGGAACAAACTAATACTCATCATATTGGTGACCCCCCCACTCGCACTCGCAGAGGAACAAATATGAAAGACATAATCAGAATATAACAAAGTGTACCTATGACACGAGTAAAGGGGGAATTAGTTAATACAGAAGGAGATTCTTGCCCAAAGCCTCTTGTAGTCCAACTCTTATGNATACTCATCATATTGGTGACCCCCCCACTCGCACTCGCAGAGGAACAAATATGAAAGTCATAATCAGAATATAACAAAGTGTACCTATGACACGAATAAAGGGGGAATTAGTTAATACAGAAGGAGATTCTTGCCCAAAGCCTCTTGTAGTCCAACTCTTATATCACATTAAACTACCAACTATTCAAAAAGCTTAAACTTGTAACATAAGCATTATATACTTTAACAGATATGAGCTTGGAATAAGTGTCTCTATTACAAGTTACAACTTACAACACACAAAAGTTAGGCGTTCCGTACTATTTTTGCAATGTAAGGGGTCTCCATATTATTTCTCCATAACAAGGATATCTATTTAATTTAACTTCATTGGCTTTTTGAGAATAAAAATTCATGATTAGGGATGAGTAATGCAGTGAGGAAGCGGGACAGTATCTTACATTGTCATGAAAAATTTTATACATTTTTAAAAGAAAAATTTCCTATTTCACCCTCTTGCCAAGTGGCCAAGGTTGCTTGCTAATTCTTAGCAAGGCAAGCGGAAAAAAACAAGCAAGATTAGCACCAGGTGAGCATGAAGGAATGGTTCCCTCCTCGGATTGTGTCCTCTGTCATATTACAGGTGCTGCGACAGCTTTTATCAAGTCCGAACAATTGTCAGCCGCCAGATCCTTGAACTATCAAGAGCATGTCTCTTATCATCTGCCGTGTTAAATCTCAATAATCTGCACAGTTGATTTCATTTAGCAAAATGATTTACACTGGACCTTTGATTTTCCCCTTAAATGGCATCTGTTGGTAGATTCAAGTATAAGCTTCCTGCCAATCTATTACATTTAACCCAAAGTTGCTTTTTTTTTTTTTTGGCTTGAGCTTCTCTTCTTTTAACCTTTTGAAATTGTAGTTTACATCTGAGTCCTCAACCAAACCAACATTGTTTTTCCACAATGCCTTTTTTTATATGCTCTAATGAAATAATTTTCCTTCTGTGTCTGTCTCATCTTCAGCCTCCACTGCTCTTTACTCTTGAATCAAGATTTTATTTCACCTTAATACGACTAACCCTGCGCATATGCACACTTGTGTGTGATGCTCGAGAGAGAAAGAGATGATGATGGTGATGATGATAGTTGGTTTGAACCCTTTGCCCAGTTACAATGCATGGTGTTCGAAGCTAAAAAAGATATGTATGGTATTCTCCAGAAAATTTAGTTGGAAGCATCATAATATTCTTATGCATGTCATTATTTTATTAGTTTTATTCTATTCAAATGATCCAGTACAAACTGATTAAACAATGTCTCCGTATGACTATGACTATGTGCGATTTTGCATTATATATATCATATGCCTCTCATCTGATCTAAACAGACAGAGAATGGACTGGTCGAAGCAGTTGCGGTTCTGGTTTCAAAAATGCCACGTATGCGTCCAGATTTACCAGCTGGAATGTTAGGGGAATGCTATAAAACCAAGCCTGATTTTGTCAAGGTAACTTTGGATATTTTGGGTTTGTTTTTAATTGATCAAAAATATTTTCTCAAAAATAGTTGGCTGGGATTCCATGGGTAGCTCCAAGCTCTATATCATCCATGTTTTGTGTGGATTATCACTGTTTCGGAAGAAGTAAAGGAGTTACCCTTTGGGATTGTGCAATCTTTGCTATTTTTTGGGTAATTTGGTTAGAGAGGAAGGAATGCAATAGTGTTTGAAAATAAGTACGAGGGTGTTGATGATTTATGGAATGGTATCTTCTTCTTAGCATCTTTTTGGGTGTCTATGTCGAAGGATTTTGCTCCAAATCGTCTCTTCGGTATTGTGTAAAGTTGGCATGCGNGTGTTGATGATTTATGGAATGGTATCTTCTTCTTAGCATCTTTTTGGGTGTCTATGTAGAAGGATTTTGCTCCAAATCCTCTCTTCGGTATTGTGTAAAGTTGGCATGCGGCTTATGAATGAACTGTTTTGTTTTTTCCTGATTGGAACTTTTTGTAGTGCTGCTGTTTTGTGGATGGTGTATGGACGCCTTGTCCGTATTACCATTATGCGTGATATTTTTCTCTTACATTAATAAAATTGTTGTCTCCTATCAAAAAAATTCTCTCCTTAATTCTTGATGCACTTCATTTACTAGGCATGGGAAAAATGGCGGGCACAAATATCTAAGCTGGACTGTAGTGCATTCTGGCTTGAATGTAATCACCACCAAACTAGGGAAGGCTTGAAAAATATGCTTCAAATCATGTTGGGAAATGCTAGTAGTCTCAGCAATGCAACATTTAATTGGATTGAGCTGTACATTTCTCATTTTCTTTACTTCAGACCTTTCACTGCGGTCAGTGCCTATTATTATCTCCTTATTCTTCACATTTTAAGCTTTAAACTTGTGCGGTTTTAAAGCTATATAGATTAGACAGTTGGGCATTAGCACTTCTTCTATTGATGAAGATGGCTTTTGACTTCTTAGTCTGATACAGGGTTTAGAGAGCATGTACAATCTAGCTCAGAAATTCATGCAGTTAAAACCAGTTTCCAGTCCCCATAAGTTGATGAGGCTTATAATTGGAATTCTTGGTGAAAATACAGAGGTGAGAAATATGCATTGATGTCTTTACAGTTTCTTTTAAACTCGTTGGTTGTCCTTTTATCAAGCTAAAAAATTATCTGGCTTTTCTTTCTGCTTCAGGTTGTGTTGGCAGAATGCTCAAAATCATTTGGCCCTTGGTAAGCTGCTATTTTAGCTTCTCTTTTTAATACAAACTTCCATGGCTTAGCCTTGGTACCCAGGCAATGGGGTGGTTAAATATTTTTCCTTTTCTCCTTTGTAGCTGTTGGAGGTTTAAACTACTTGATAGTTAATACTTAATAGGTCTGTAGCATGTGAACATTAATTAGAGGGTCAAGAGTTGGTGAATGGGCTCTCTTGAAATGACCATCACCGGTTAGCATGTGAGATATTTCTGCACCATTCATATCTGTATAGATTAAACAATGTGAATCACATTATGTGATGTATATTACCCTCTTAGAGAGGTTGTATCTGATATTGAATGATTGGGACATCTCAAAGTTGGTTTATATGATTAAGGCTTAAGAGGCCTATCCATTTGAATTTATTGGCATTCATGTTTGCTAGCACCACTTGTGAGCCCAAGGCCCATGGGAGGGAAGGTGCAAAAAGAGCTTATATCCCACATCAAATGATTAGAGCAACTTAAGGAATTTTTTTATATGGTTAAAAGGTCTTTGCATTCATTACCAATTAATTTTGGGTTGGATGTTCCAACAATCCTGTTTCCAAAATAATGCCTTCCCCTTTTTAGCCAAGTGAGTGGTGGCTGAAGAATTAATCAAAGCTATAGGGTCGAGTATTGAGGGGACTTCCCAGATAACCAATCACACTTTTATCTTTTAGAAAACATAATCCATCACTAGATAGCCTGAGGAGGTGCATAGTTCAATTTCTAGTAAGGGGGCATGGGGTATGTAGGTTGCCCCCACGCTCCCCATTTCATTTTGATCCAGTGGCATGGATGCACAATGGGAGGTAGTTTTGCCACTGGATCCAAGATCTCTAGTATGACTTACTAGAGACTTTACCAGGTGGGCTATTGATACCTTCAATGCACGTGTACATCCTTATGACTCGTTTAAATTACTTAATCCAGATCATTATTTTCCTTTTAATAGGATGATTGCCCATGCTGTAGAGTTGTTGACAGCTGGGAGCACTGAAGCAGAAATTCTTTTACATGAAGAGCGGCCTAATCTGGGGGGAATCAGTATAGAGGAGCTCCATCGACTTGTTTATGCTCAAGTTCTATCTTCTAACGTTTTAATGTGGCAAGTGAGTGAATATTAGTTTCAAGAAAGGTTATTTTATTTTTCTGTTAAAAGTCGGTTTTTAAGTGAAAGGGTATCTCTCCCAAGAAAAAACTTACTGTGGTAGCTTGGGTTGCTGCAGAACTGGGAACTTCAGGATCACATTTTCAGGATCTCTTTATTATTAACCCAAATAACTATTATTCCTGCACGTGTCGATTGTGTTTGTTTATTATATTGGCACAGATCTTGAAGAAAAAATGAAAGCCTGCTATTTTCATTTCTTTAGAAAATTGATTAGGAAGGAGCCTTTTGAACTAGATCGGTATGAATGGGACCAACTTCAACTGAATGTGATTTCTACTGACCCTAAAGTTATCTCTATCTAGAAGCTTTCCACCTCTAAACTCTATACTGGTGCACCATCTGAAGCTCTGGGATTCATGAGAAACACTTTTCTCATTTGTCATTGTTGGAGTCACACAGTGAAGTGTGATAAATAATTTATTTGATTGGTTCCTGCTAATCATGGAAGAGATTGTGTTATTTAATTTTGGGAGTGCTGCAAAAATAGAAAGGAACGGCACAATGTGCCAATTTGCTACTTTCAGATTGTTTTTCTTTTTAAATTATTTTAATTTGGTTCCCAGAATCCTCTTGAGCTTCTTCAGCGAAGGAGTGATTAATATGAGTATCAATCTTAGTATCTCTCTCTCATCCTTCGGTTACCAGGCCTAAAAAGAAGGTTTTGAGATGAATTAGGTAAAACCTGTATAGAATTATGCTTGCATCAAATGAAAATAAAAGTTGACTTGAGCAGGCATGATTAAAGGCTTTGTTAAATTTAGGCATCATTGTCCTGTTTGGAAATTCCCTAGCAATGTACTTGAAGATGTGCTTGGTTTTGTAGAACTTTTCAAGTCCTTGCACACCTCGGAAATCATATTATGTTTATATGATGAAGTTGTTGATGATGACGATTTGTATGAAGCAAGTGTTAGCATGTCTCCCTGTGTTCTTCTCAAGTCATTTCCGATCTTAGCCTTGCTGTGCCTTATGCTTTTGATATATCCATTGGCAATGCTGATTATATTAATTTTTCCTAACTAATTTTATGCTTTCCATTTTACAGATTGCTCCAATATATTTGGCATCATGTATGAAGCAAGGAATGGGCTTGTTGGAGAATTTGTTGTACAAGCAACCTGTACAACATAATAAAGTACTGCTGAAGGTGCCCTATTTATCTTTTAGTCTCAGTTTTGCTTTTCCTCCACAGTCATTATCTATGAATTATTCTTCCAGAGTTGATAGCATCCACATCAATGCAGTTGTTCTGATCAACTGAAAACTTGCATTCCATTTAATGCAGAGCATTNTGCCCTATTTATCTTTTAGTCTCAGTTTTGCTTTTCCTCCACAGTCATTATCTATGAGTTATTCTTCCAGAGTTGATAGCATCACATCAATGCAGTTGTTCTGATCAACTGAAAACTTGCATTCCATTTAATGCAGAGCATAGAAATTTGCCGTCTCTATGAACTTGACAGTGTTGGTGCTAATATTATGAAGGTATGTTACTATGCTAGTAGTCTTTTGTTCCCTCTGGATGCACCTTTAATACTTATTATCTATTTACACAGAATTGTTATAAAGTACTTCCTTGTTAAATTCATCCTCTACTTTAGTCAAAAGATGTTGATTTTAAGTTTGCAAGACTATTTGTATTTTTGTTTGTGGATGTTTGTGTGTGTTCTTTTTTAAAGATGTATTCCTTGAAACAGATTGCTGGGGTACATCACTGGAATCATGGAAAAAAAGGTTCTGGAGTCTTCTGGCTTCAGCAAGCTCGGGATGAAGTTCGTTTAAACAGAATTGCTCAACAGTTGTTTGATTTTGTTGGAAAGTCGGTTCCTGATGAAAGTTTCAAGGTAATAGTCATAATTATTTTTTTGATTACATCCTGGTAAGCAGCAGTTGGGATTTGAAATTGAAGTTCATAAGCATGCAGTCATGCTGCGACGGATTTAAAAACTTTTAAGTAGCGTGAAGTTGGCTATTAGTTCCATTCTATGACCTTTACTCATTCTCTGTTTTTTGTTTGTCTAGCAATGGGAAGGGTTGATTGAGTTGCTGGGCTCTGAGTGTAGGATTGCTGGTGGTCTCGAGTTTCTGCACAAGTATGTACTCATTCATCTCTGTGTTGGCTTTAATTTGAGCCTTATGAAGGAAAGTCATGCATTTTAATAGGTCATCATCTTCACTCTGCTCATTTTAATTTGTGATTTGATATTTGCGTTGCACAGGTATAGGGATTTCAAGCGATCCCTTCAGCAGGTTCATGATGGAATAGCTACAGATGCTGCACAGAAAGCTGCTGAAGCCCTTATATTGGTAAGTTTCATGGATAATCTAATGTTTTCAACCTATAAAGATAATGTACTTATTGTCAGATGATGAGAGTGTAGGACATAAAGATTTGTCATATAATACAATCTCTCATAAGATTGATTCCAAATTCACAGGAATCCATAATGTGTCATTGATTAGAGCTTTCTTATTAAAATGCTTTCCTGGGGAGGATTTATCTTTAGATTTTGTTCTCTGCTGATTGAAGAGTATTTTTGACAGTTTTAGTTTTTATTCCACAGCTTATGAAAAACCCATCTACACCTCAACGCTTTTGGCTGCCTCTTCTATTCGACTCGGTGAGTTATTATTATATTCTTCAAGGCTCTGTTAGGGCTAGGAAAGTGAAAAACTCTCATCTTGGGTCCAAATTTTGTTATCTATAGAGGTGTGTGTAATTTGGGAAGCTTGTGTACCTAACTTTTACCAGGCAACTAGATCGAGGTTTCTTTCGCCTGGCCACTTTGTGGCAGTAGGTTCTTCATCTTTCAAATTTAGCTCCACTCTCAAGAATTTATATTCCTCGCTTATCTGTAAATTTTATTTCAAAATGCTCGTTGAAGTTGATTCAGACCTTTTGTTGTTCAATGTATCTGCTATTATTTATCCATTTTTTTATGCCTGCATTGGTACATGATTCCTGATGTCCTCAAGTTTTGTGCAGTTGAAGTTGTTGAATTGGCAGGCGTGCCCTTTGCTGAATGTCTCTCAGACTAATCTGTTGTTGAATAAACTGCAAGAGTTGTCAATGGCAAGGTTGCGCCCCGATTTTGTTGAAGCAGACTTGCCTCCTCAGGCCTTGAGTTCTGTCAGGCTGGCTCTTGCAACTAATCTAGGACGGGCTATCCTTGAGGAATGATGCTGTGTTGTTATCCAACCAATGTCAATGTGTAGTATGTTTCTTGTTTCCCCTTCACCACGCAGCCGTTGGTTTCATTATTTATTGTTTTACTTTTAGGGTAAACCATTTTCTTTCTTGTAGTTTGAGCCAGTGATGCCTTACCTTACCTTACCTCTCAATACTTTAGAAACACCTCCTAAAGTCTTAGGCTAAAATGCACCTGTTAATGAGAATGACAATACAGCACAAAACACTAATAATTTTTTTTTTTCATTTTTTTGTATATAGATTTTTTTCTTGAATAGTTTTTCAAATTGGAAAATTTACATTGCACGTAGAAAGAGAGAGCAAATAAGGTAGGTTTACACTAGAAGAAAAAGAACATGCATAATATTTATAAGGTGTAAAAGTTATCTTGACATGTTATCTTATTGAAAATATCATATGATGAAGTGTAGGTTTCCAAACGACGAGGAGAGGTAACGTTGCATTGGCTCCTTTTAAAAAAAATAACCAATACAAAAATTCCACTGGCTGGTTGTAAAACATTATTTGCCTTTCAATCATTCCCTGTTGGCACTTTCACTGCTTTTGTCCATGAAGATTCACACCTTTCCTTGTCATGGAGAGTATTGGATGTTTCTTTCATGTGTAGCTGGCGTTGGTCACAGGATGAAGCTCTCATGGTAATAGAGTTTGGCTCTTTTCAGCCTTAAATTTTTTTTTTATTTATTTTTTTTCTGTTTTTATATTGCAGACTAATCGACTAAGCATTGTGCGTGATGCGGAATTCCATGACCAAAGCAGGAAAAAAAAATAAAAAAAAGAAGAGAAGATCTACTTGCAGAATTGGTCTCGGACACACCTACAAGCACAGCTTTTGAAGAAGCGTAGGCCTTGCTTGACCTGTCTTCCACCAAGAACAAGATTCTAATTAAAGTTACCGTTGTGCTGGGCAGTCCTAAATCTACTGGGCATCGCGTAGTTGTGGTTGTGATGTATGACAGGAGAGAATCGAAAGACTGATAAATTTGGCTTACCTTACAAGAGATTGTATCCTAGCCTTTGTTGGTTGACAAGATAGAAAAGAGAACTGAATTGAAAGACCGTATTTTCTGTGACTTTCTCGGCATCTGATGGGAAGTTCATGTATCGAGTTTTTTTCTTTTTTTTTTCTCCCAACTCTCTGAGGTGAAGTTTGTTGTATTAAGTTCTGGGACTTTAATCATGAGTTTACATTCGTTCAAACTAACAGAAACATTCCCATCTCTTCTCTCCACAAAATGCTTGACATTCATCCTACTACTAGATTTATGAACTCGCGATACGAGATCTTAAATGAACAAAAGGCTGAAAGAACTGCCTTTAATACACTCTCATAACCAATACAAGTACATAAATCAACATAGAGCTTACATTTCCAAGACAATAAGAGGGTGATGAGCCCTTTTATATTTACACAGGCGAAAACGAAGAATCTTCAGTTAATGAATGACAATAATGCAGTAGAAAAGACACGAATGCATTGAAGAAAACTAAAAATATATCGACCACAATAATGAATGATAATAAATCCCGACTGCCTTCCTCCCGCAAGCCTCGTAAGTTGCCAAAAATTACGAAACTTTTGCAAGCAGAGGGGTGAAGTTTCCAGTGCTACAAAATTTACTGTACAGAAATATGGCACTTGTGGTGACAACCCAGCTTGCAATAACCGAAGTCCAAGCATGGCAGAAGGATTATCATGTCAATGTGTTAAATACAAGCAGAACAACAAAGAATGTTCTGCCAAAATGATACCCACATGTAAGGAGCCACTTGCGTTGGTCAATATGCACCATGCCTCAAGTCCATTACAGTTTCTTAGGCAAGTTGTATGCCTTTTTCAGAAACCTTGAAGCTGCATCATCATTCCGATAACACAAAACACGCAGCAGTGTGTTTGGCTCAGTTGGGTTCCATTGTCCTGATGTTGGAGGTAACGGAAGTCTTGACTTGGCAGAAGAGCCATAAGTTTCCAAAGTCAAGCGTCTGAACCTGTCAATGAGGCTATCCGTATCAGTTCGGAAAAGTGGAAGGACATCCCTCACCGCGGATGAAAACTTAGGAATCACTTCTGGTGGCAACCCATCCCCATTTGCCCAGAACAAATCTTTAAGAGAGTTGAAATCATCCTCTATTATCTGGGAGTCCTGCCTGGTAAAAGAACGGGAAGGCCCCCCAGCAAACAAAACCAACAAGAAACCATCAAAGGAAGCTTTCATTATGTCGGCAATAATCCGGGTACGAACTCTTTCATGCACGGTATTGGATATGATTGTTAAGTTCCGCTCGAGCTCCTGAAGAAATGGTTCAATCCTAGAAGATGATGTCTCACCAATATACAAACCATCCCACAGAACACGACTCAGATCATGAAAGATGATTTTATAAGCCACCGCTTCACACAGTTGTTGGATTCCTTCTAGACAAGCAGATGGTGATAGCTCAAATTTTTTCCCCAACCCATTTGAAAAATCTTCTGCATGAGCAGATTCAGAGTTCCGCAAAAGGGTGATTATCCTCTTTTCTAGAACATCCAATTCTGTCTGTAATCGTTGCAAAGTATTTATACGAGTGCATAGCTGTGGTACTCCAACAGAGTTATCCCCATTCATTGTTGCAACCTGAGAGTTCCTCTTCTGAGAGTTCAGGGACTTTACTTTCTTCTTCCACACACCTTGAAATTTTGTACTTGTTGTACATCTGGTTAACGCTGGCATGGTGGGAACATATGTGTTCCTCGATCCTACATGCCATATCAATAAAAAACAGGTCATTAGGATTCCAAACACTTAATCCACCAGAAATCTTTGTGAGCTATGCATTTAATTACCACAGCCAGATTTTGCCTTGGTTATGTAATACTGAAGACATCTGTCCAGACCAGCTATCAACTCAGGAAGCAATGCTGGATGCATTGGTATTGGCAGCTGAAAGAACGCATCCAAAGTTTCATTTAAAATTCGTAGTGCTTCAATGGCAGAAGGAGCATATCCTTCTTCATTAGCTTGGGGATTCCAGATCTATATAGATGTAGGGACGAGGTTAGTTTGTCAATCTAAAAATGAAATCTAAATATATGGATGTGCTAAAAGTGGAGCTCCTGATTATAGGATAATGCATTTTTCTTGTAGGTCACAACAACTATCACCATAACTGCCATCTCAACCCATGAGCCAAAAAAGTACTCTGTGTATACTGGATCATATCAATATTCTTTAGGTGGTTTGCACCCAATTAAAGTAAAATGTTGAAACACTACAACCAAAAAGCACCATCCACTAAAAAAAAAAANTGGTTTGCACCCAATTAAAGTAAAATGTTGAAACACTACAACCAAAAAGCACCATCCGCTACAAAAAAAATNGTTTGTCAATCTAAAAATGAAATCTAAATATATGGATGTGCTAAAAGTGGAGCTCCTGATTATAGGATAATGCATTTTTCTTGTAGGTCACAACAACTATCACCATAACTGCCATCTCAACCCATGAGCCAAAAAAGTACTCTGTGTATACTGGATCATATCAATATTCTTTAGGTGGTTTGCACCCAATTAAAGTAAAATGTTGAAACACTACAACCAAAAAGCACCATCCACTAAAAAAAAAAATTCATGAAACCGAATACGGTTAATTTTTTTTAATACCTCACGCATCCTTCTATCACATCTCAATTTTGTAGAAAGATCAGCATACCAATCTCAAAATGTTCTCCAAATTGATACAGACAACTATCTGGAAAATAGCCAGCTCCAGCAGCTAACATTCTCCCACAGCATACACAATATGCCCCTGACATTCTTTCCCTCACGGTTTAGAATCATACTTGAAGCCATAATTCAATTGAATAAAATCGGCCTAAAAATCCAAGATAACCTTACAATTTCAACTAAAGAAACATAATGTTCACTTCACGTAGTTAACCCTTAACCCTTTTATCAAATTGCAAGTCTTCTAAGTATCTTGTCACTTCTGTTCTATTGTCGCGTGCAATTTATTTAATTTTTATTCTCTGTGATCCTGTACTAATTCGTTTCAGCATTGGAGAAGTTCATTTCTTCTCATCTACACCAAAAGGATGAGCTGATACATTGGGCATTGATTAGTCATATCTATCATACATAACGAGAAGAGAATGGTCAAAAATATATAGCTGTAAGACGAAGATATTAAGATATTAATATGCGGGCATGTGGAGAAGTGAATTACAATTTCCTTGTACAAAAATTCTAAGGGATTATCCCAATGGGTACATAATATTGAAGTTTACAAATGATTTTGCACACAATATCCACACTCCACATGACTGTAATCATAAAGGACGGCCAAGTGCATGAAGCCCTCGCCATTGCTGAGTATGTATGGTGATGGTCAGATATATGCAAAGCATTACCTTGATATGCAGAGTCTACTTCCACTAATCGAGCCCTAGACGCAAAAGTAATGGAGTAACTTTACCAATGCACCAAGCCCACCCTCTCACATAACTATAATCGTACCTCTACAACTAAGAGGAAACAACTTTTACAACTAAGTTATTTAGAAAAAACCATTATTTATTTCCATTTAGAAATAATGGTTTGTGTTGTGGGTGTCTTGTATTCCACTCCTAGTTGGAAACTTGATTGAAATTTGCTCTCCGTTGCGATTTGAAAAGGTGAATGTCTTGGAATTCCACTTCAAATAAAAGACCAATTAAAAAACATATTGTATTAGAAAACAAAAGTATTTTGGGTCGGTAACTGCTCCTAATTCTTTCCTTTTGTTATTGCATGCTTTTGTTTGTTGTCAAATCTGTCTGGGGCACCTCACGGAAGAACACCTCCTACAGATTTAAATACTTACTGTAAAGTAGTATACTTAAAGTCCTTGCCTTCTCTGATGTAGCAATTTTTTTTAGCAATGATATTCTTCTAGTTTTCGAAAGGTATTTTGGGTCTATAAATAGATTGTAGACCACTTAGTTTCTCTTTGGAATATTGGCTCCAAGTTTTGGGCATTTATGGTTGGTTCTATTTTCTTGGTTTGAGAATTTTGTGTAATCTCTCTTCGTTGATAATGAAACTTTGCCGTTGCGTTTCGCTAGTAGACGTAAGCTCTCGAGCCAAACCACACATATTTGTGTATTCTATATTTTTCTATTTCGTTCTACTTGTTTGTTTATGGTTCCAAATCAGTTTCCTCTTATGAATGGAATAAAAAACACCCACAACAAATCTTCACCTTGACTTGTATCCCATCAAGCTATCAAAACAAAAGCGACCGAACTAATTGCTTTCTCCATAAATCCCATAAGGGGATAACAGAAATACTAGAAGCATCTATAACAAATCTCCACATTGACTTGTGTGCCAACCAAGCCATCAAAACAAAACTGAATACAACCTGCCACCTTTTACTGAATAGAAAATATATTGAAACTTTGCCAACATTGATCACAGTATCTTATCAATATCTTTTGCCAAACTATTCTGTCACAACAGCGTTATATATCTAGATCCATCGTAGATTAAGCCTGTTCTGACCATCAAATTTTTTTACATTGCATTTTGTTGTACTATCTTCAAACCAAAGCTCTAATAAGTGATAACAATTTGTAATGAACAAAGGCCACAAACAATAAACGGAATAAAATAAAAAAAAATACAAAACACACAAATATGTGTGGTTCGACTCGAAAGCCTATATCTGCAGGCGAATCTCAGTGACAAAGTTTCACTATCAACAAAAAGAGGTTACACAAAATTCTCTAACCAAGAGAATAGAACTAGACATGGATGTCCAACAATAGGGGCCAATATCCTCAAGAGAAGCTAAGTGGTCTGCAATCTATTTATAGCCTAATACAATAAGTTTTATAATTGGTCTTTTACTTGAAGTGAAATTCCAAGGCATTCACCTTTCCAAATCCTTTACACTTTGCCTACCCACTAAGAAGCACATACATTTCTAAGGTGACTTCCCTTTTGGACACGTGTCTTCTAATGACACTTTTCAAACACATGTCCAACACTCCTTTTGAAAAGTACATAGTAAGGAAATAAAGATCTTGCTTTCGACAAGTGTTCGATATTCTTTTTGTGACATGTTCAAGACTTCTTTGGTCATGATTAAGACATGAGAATTAAAATTTAGAAATTTAACATATAATTATTAAGATTGATTATGTCAAAATTTCAATTAGAAGTTGGTTGAAGAGGATGTAAATGTTTTACCAAAGAAGATGGTTGAAGAGGATGACAATTGTATTTATATGTTCTTACTACAAATTGTCAATAAGATATGCTGATTATTAACTGTCATATATTATGATTATTAATTATCGGGGGTGACAATTTTTTACAAAACATGATACTGCTGTGAAATAAGCAGGTTAGTGTTACCAATTCTTAATGCGAACCAAAAAATGACATGACCTAGTAATACAGAAAATCAAAAGTTCAGATTAGTGTCACACATGAATAATTTGATTTATTCACAACAAAACCTGTTGAATTTGTATTATATACAGAAAATATTTATTTTTATAAATTTTTTGGCATTTTTTATATGGAATTGTATGAATGCTTGTAGAATATTAAGGAATTTTTAGTTGATTTTACAAAATTATAGACCAGAAAAAAAATTTAGTTAGATTAATGAATTTCAAGATCATGAGTCCCACATTATTGATAGTCAACTATATGTTCAAAGTCCTAATTCCAGGCTTCGGCAACAGCTTGAATCTCAAAAAAAAAATCAGTGAATTTGCACAAATAATGGTATTGTCGCACCCAATATCCATCCAAAATAAAATGTCCTCCCAGCTCCCACCTTAAATCCTTCCTTCTAACAGAACCTTGCCCCATCAGAAACTTCCTTTACATTCCCTGGGCCACAACTCCCTGTTGGACATACTTGGCAAATTGGCTCCCAATGGGATAGGGAAAGTTTGCCAACCATTTCCAATATAGGAGATCCCATGCGTTTAAGTGACAGCATGCCTCGCAGGCAATCTACAAAATACTGCCACAGAAATTGAAGAGAAGATTCCTCGTAGAACAAGTTCCCGTTGCAAACCTCGATAAGTCGCAATTGATGCCTTGATTAATAAGATGTCCTCTCCCTGCTCAAAGGAAGATTTCAGGATAAATGCAATCAAAACAAGGGACAATCGTGTTTTCTGATCTTGGTATGTATGATCAATTGAATATGGTGACAGTTCCGATCAGAATATGGATTAATCTCATTTCACGGTAGACCATGCAATAATCCTCCAGGGGTGACAGGACATATTTTCTGTCCGATTGAGTTAGTACTGTTTCAGCAACGGAGATAAGAGGAAGATCCTCTTCTTGCATATACACATTTTACGACGTGATCACAGGGGGCACGTGTCTTGATTTACGCATACCGAAGTGGAGACATCATTGGGCTAAAAGAACCTTCCCACCTACAATGGAGAATCATTTTCCATCTTTCTTGTAACTCCCATGCTTCCACACACACCATTTTTCTTTACAAATATCCTTTTCCTAGTGACCCCTAAAGGTACTAGCTAAACAAAGCATAATTCATGTAAGCAAATGCCCTACAGAGACAACTTCTATGGGTTTACCATCGAATTCCCATAAATCATTATACACATGAATTCATCCATATGCATGCTGGCAGAAAGTTTCTTGGATATGTTTTTTAAAACTTTCAGACTGCTGACATAAAATATTCATCCTCTCCTAAAGCTACCAACTCTTTTAAGGTATTTCACCTCCACCAATATTATTTTTAATTAAAAAAAATATATTATTTTTAATCCTTATTTTCCTTGTGACCATATAAACTAAACTCAAGCCCAACATTTTGGAGTTGGCTACAAGAATCCTACTTTTGCAATTGTGCTTATGAGGACATACTTTATGAAAACAAATATGAATGGGTAAGGCACAGGAGTTATGCAACAAGGACTCGAACTTTAGCATGCTAAACAATATGAGAAATTTGACAAAGTTTGACAAAAAGGAGGAAGTGAAAGGATAGTGACTGTGTAAGATAAATACATCTTACAGTTATGATGAGACAAGAGTCTAAGACAAATCTGAAGCATAAATGGATTGCACAAGAATTTATTTTCAATGCATCAAGTTTTCCACAACAGTTTTACCAGAGGATAGTTAGTATGACATACCTCTTGTTGGAGATTCCTGTCAATCCACTCCTTCAGTCTGTCCAGTCTGATTTTCATCCACACTTTCACAAGGTTGGCTATTGCAGCTTCAGCTTCATAAGGCGGCATCTCACGGATTATTGCCTTCCCCCCATCGTCACTGTCCACTGAATCTTCAACAGCAAACTGCACAAGATCTTTCTCCAACTTATCAGCAGCTCTCAACACTTGTACAGAATCTGGTGTTAATTCCGTAATACCCGAAATGAATTGCTTCAGTTCATTCCCATAACAAGCATGAAGAGTGGCAACAGCCACACCTGCAGCAAAAGGATGCCATCTCTTCAGTATAGGACTGAATACCTCCTTCTCATTAACTGCCAGCTCACCAACATCCTTTGCAAGGATAGCAAGGACAGGAAGAGGGTTTGGATGGTTTCTTGCAGCCCTTCTGCTTGAATCTGCCTTCTCCATTTTCTGCACGGATCAAACATTTCCTTAGCAACATATTCCAACTGAAATACAGACTATTCACCCAATAGTAGTCAGGTACTTACATGCCTATATACACCAGAAAATCTGTAGCAATAGATGACACAAAGTCCTCTATAACAACATGATTCTTTCAGATAAAATATATGAAGTTTGATGGTGAAAGGTACCCTTTCAAGAGAACAACCAAAAATGATCTTTTGTTTATCAATCGGTCTACGGGATAGGAAGTCTTTCCCTTTTGATTTTCATATATATCTTTCATTTACACTATATGACATGTAGTTTTCGAATTGAGAAACTCCTTAATCTGTACATGATAAAATGAAATAAGAAATGCAGCTATATGTGCCTAGGGTTTATGACTGCTCAAATTTCAACTTCATCACATTTGGCCTATTCTTTCTCAGAGAAAGGCTACAGCAAATACCAATGACTTGCCTGAGCAAAAGCTGTGCGAAGTGATGACCTGATGTAAGTGTCAATCCTGCTACGAACCACATCAACTTCACCTTTCCTTCTCCTGCGATACTCATTGGATATATCCTCAACCAATATTTTGGCTGCCGATACCCCCAGGGAAACAATGCTTGGCATGGAATCTATATTTCCACTGTCAAAAGTATCATGATAGGCAAGGAGCCTTTTCTCAGCCCAACCTAATACTGAAGTCAATGTAGAACTCAAAATCTTGGAGTATGTGGGATCCTTCATTGTCTTTGCATCTTTTGCAACTTCTGCTAGCTGACNCTTAGCAACATATTCCAACTGAAATACAGACTATTCACCCAATAGTAGTCAGGTACTTACATGCCTATATACACCAGAAAATCTGTAGCAATAGATGACACAAAGTCCTCTATAACAACATGATTCTTTCAGATAAAATATATGAAGTTTGATGGTGAAAGGTACCCTTTCAAGAGAACAACCAAAAATGATCTTTTGTTTATCAATCGGTCTACGGGATAGGAAGTCTTCCCTTTTGATTTTCATATATATCTTTCATTTACACTATATGACATGTAGTTTTCGAATTGAGAAACTCCTTAATCTGTACATGATAAAATGAAATAAGAAATGCAGCTATATGTGCCTAGGGTTTATGACTGCTCAAATTTCAACTTCATCACATTTGGCCTATTCTTTCTCAGAGAAAGGCTACAGCAAATACCAATGACTTGCCTGAGCAAAAGCTGTGCGAAGTGATGACCTGATGTAAGTGTCAATCCTGCTACGAACCACATCAACTTCACCTTTCCTTCTCCTGCGATACTCATTGGATATATCCTCAACCAATATTTTGGCTGCCGATACCCCCAGGGAAACAATGCTTGGCATGGAATCTATATTTCCACTGTCAAAAGTATCATGATAGGCAAGGAGCCTTTTCTCAGCCCAACCTAATACTGAAGTCAATGTAGAACTCAAAATCTTGGAGTATGTGGGATCCTTCATTGTCTTTGCATCTTTTGCAACTTCTGCTAGCTGACTGTCAGCAGCATATAGCAGATCATTTTCAACTTGTCCAGTTGCAATAAAACGGTTAAATAGAACCCATGAAAAGCAAAGGTTATGGAGCATTTGGTTTAATCCAAGTATTCCCCAAGTTTTCTTTATGTGTTCCATAAGCTCGTCAACTTCCTCTATAATGGATATTTCATTGTTAGCATCAAAGCAGGCTTCTAACAACATTTCATAGAGTCGGAGATTCAGAGGGAAACCATCTGCCCAGTGGCATGACTCCACAAGAGATCCATCAGCTGATCTACTAGCAAGAGACATTACGGCACTACGAAGGACTTGCATTGACTCGTTATTCTTCCCAGTTTCTATTAGCCTACCTAAGGCGTTATGAATAATTTGCCGCAGCCTATGTGAAGAAGTATTGGACTTGTCTAATGGCATATGAGGATGTAAAAGGAGCCCAGCTTCAAGAATTTTCAGATTTCTTTTCTGCCACGCTTCATATTCTTCCTGATCAGTAAACTCTGAAGATTTGAACTGCTGTAATAGCTCCAATGGGAGAACCATTGACTCAATCCTCTTTCCAACCTATCACACATAAGCACAAAATCTCATAATCAATTCATTTAATACACAGAATTCAACGGAAAAGGGGTTCCGTTAAACCAACATTTTATGCTCCAAAATAGTGAAAAAGATCACTTTATCTGTTCATAAAACCAAAATAGAGTTCTAGAAACAAGCAAAAGATGTATGGGTGAAATTAGGATAAACTGTCTTTAAAATATGGTCATTGTTCTAAAAACATGCAATATCGATTAATGAAAGATCATAAGGTTGACGGTTAAATTCATTAGCATATTAGGGAGCGATTTGACAGTTACTTCACAATAAGACAAGAACCAAAGTACAAAATTTACAAAAGCCAACAGGATGAAAACGTTAAAATGAATGTCCATGTTTGTATGAGAGAGAGAAAGAGAGAGAGGAGAAAACAAATACCATAATTCCATACAGGTCAGAATATATTCAAAGAAAAACTAGAAGCAATCAAAAAACTTTTGAATATTAATATAAGAACTAATTACACAAAAATCACAACATAGCCATAATCTATAAACAAATTGACGGCCAAATACACATCCTGACAAGCAACTAAACCAAATTAGAAAAAAATTCATGCTGCATTTGGGAGCATTGAAATTAGTTGCATTGGAATTTCAATTGGAGATTAACTTTTAAAATGCAACAACCGAAACACACACACACACTGAAAAGGAAACAACAGCACAGCCATTTAAAGGACACACAAGGAATCTTCAATCCCCGCCCAAATAAAAAATCAAAACTTTCCTGAAGCACTGCATAGACCCAAAAAAAAACACACACACACACACACACATATGAAGAAATAGAGTGGAAACACTATCGTGATGCAGATCACATCACAATTAATCCATCTCTCCCGAAACAAAACACAAACAATCAAAAACAGCATCAAACCCCACAATTCAATAACTTTGTAACTCGACCACCACAATAACTTTGTAACCCAATCATCCCAATTCAATAACTTTGTAACTCAACAGTCACATCAAATCATCATAATCCAGAAATGAACCCAAACACGCGCAAATACACACACACACCCCCCCAAAAAAAAAACCAATTGAGCTGAAGTTAATCTATGTGTAACCTGCCCAGCAGCAATCCTCAGAAGAGCCCTCCTCACCCTTGAATCCATCGTCTCCGAAACCCTCATCTGATCCCTCATCAGCTCTCCTACCGTCACCGGCTTTTTCACCTTCCCACCCGAACCCGGACTACTCTCAATTATCTTCGAACCCGAAACCGAATTGGAGCCTGATCGGAGTCCCAGAGCCTTCTTCATCTTACTCGCCGCAGTCGAAGTCAGCGATTTATTCATCGACGGAGTGTTCGAAAGAGACGACGGCGACGGAGATCGTTCGGAGCTGGAACTGTTGGGAATGTAGGTGAGGGGTTTGCCGAAGGAAGTACGGCAAGCGGCGACGAAGATCTCATAGGCCGTGTCGCGGAGGTCGGTGGTGGTGAGAGTTGGTGTGAGGTCGCCGAATGGGGATGGGAGCGATGAAATAGTAATGGTAGACATGGTGGTGGTGCTAGTTCTGGTGGTGAGTTCTCTCTTGGAGTGGCCTAGAGTTCGGTCTCGAAAGATAGACGCCATTGTCACGGAGGGAGAGAGTGAGAGAAACCTCTGTGTGAAAGAGAGATTTGATAGAGGCGAGGACCTTTTTGGTATTTTATGCTTTTTTGATTTATTTGACTTTAGTCTGTTGCGTGTGCTTTTTGAATGGAAGTGTGAAAAGACTAAAAGAGGAAAGAGAGAAGTGAGCATCTCTCTTTTGTAATTTTCACTCTCAAAACTTTTAAAATTGGGTTAATTAAAAAATACTCCCTTTAACTTTAAATAGTTTGTCATTAACCCTTTAAGTTTTATTTGTATAGTTCCCATTAAGTTTAAATATTTTTCAATTAACTCTAACAATTAAATTTTGGCTATAATAAATAATAAAAGTTAGACATGAGAAATTTACGTGATTTTTATTTTATTGAAAGACACACTAACCCCTAAAAATAGTAGAGTAATATTATTTAAACCTAAAAAATTGATATAATTTGTTAACATAATGATCTAGATTTAGTCGAATTATTGGATTAACACCAAGTTTCAATGTTTGATGGGGTCCAAAATCAATCTAAGGAGTTTGGTTTAATGGTACTCCTTATCTTGTGAAGGTTTTGCCTTCTTGAGGTCAAGGGTTCAAACCCCCCTCCTCCTCCCCCTCCCCTTTCCACAAAAAAAAAAAATTAGATTAATAAATAAAATCAATATATTAGGTCCCAATAATATTACTCAAAATAGTGTGTGTGGTTGTTGGGTGGAGGTGGAGACAGAAGTAGAGGTAGGGGGTGGAAGGGAAGGTGAAGATGAACACGTTATTGTGCAATTTATTGGTATTGAGCTAAGCAGATATATTTTTTTGTTGGTTTTTGATGAAAGATGTAATGGTATTTTTATGTTCTAATCACTGTTGTCGCTTAAAATTTAGAGAGAGTTAATTTTAGTATTTGAAACTATAGGGAACTAATTGCAAATGCTAAAATTATTAGTTCCCTAATATGTTTAAAATAAATCAAATCTTAGCTCTACCAATTAATAAAGGGAGAGGAGAAGACTTTGGTCTCCACATTTGATGCATCTATAATGCTTATGCTTTCTTTTTATCTTTAACTGCCTATAATTATGCATAATTACAAATAATTCCTCATAATTTATTTTTTGTAATTCTTATATTTCTCTTATTCTCCTCTAATCTCAATTTAAAATTAAACATAGGACCACCACTATGAAATAAGTAATTGAACTTTTTCTCATTTTAGAGAAAGTGATGCCAAATTTAAGTTTGTGACGTATTGATATATAGATAATATTATTTGGATTTAATTTACTAACCTAATTTGTTGGTCATATAAGCTATTGATATTAATAACAAAACAAATTTGATGAAGTAAATAAAATTTCAATTACCATCTAAACATAAAAGTTTATTTAATATGGAAAAAAATAAAGCAAAAATATTGAGTTTGGAGAAAATAAAGTAGGTTAGATAGATCAGCCAGCCATTGGCTAAAGGAAGTTTTAGCATGAGAAGGCATTTGGGTCATCGGTATGTGTCTGCAACCTGCTCTTCTTGCCCCAAAAGTGTTATTAAAAGCGCAGGATCCACGAGTCTATGGCTTGGAGGCAAAGCAAATTTATAATTTAGCTGGAAACCAAGCAAGTCATAGATGTATTTTTCAAAACATGGTAATAAAGATGAACTGTAATATCATGAGTTTAAATTTTAATAATTTTTTGAGGTCAAGTTATAAAAAATTTATTTCTTATGTATATTCTAACCCTAACGTGGATGCTCTACTTTTTATCAGATCAGAGAAGAGATTAATCGAGATACACATAAACTGATCCAAATACCTCTGATCATTAAAAAAAAAAAGAAAAAAAAAGAGAGGTATTATGAATCTGTCAAGCTAATTTGGATTAAGAAAGCTTTTGAGATGTCGTGTTAACTCGAATTGTGTGATTTTGTTAATACTTGCTTGCATTTACAATTTGACTCTAAAACACGAGCTTGAAAGGCGAGTGATTATGATAATTTTTTTTATCATTTTAAAAAGTTAGAAAAAAGGGACTATAAAATATAAATATAAATTAAAATTAAAGAAAAAGAGGTGCACAACAAATATAATCAAACACTAATGCTCTATTTAATACGGTAAAAAAAATAGAATAATGAAAAATTGGAAGATTGAAAAGTTTGAAGGATAAATAAACTATCATGTTTTGTAAAGAAGGATAGAAAAGTGAATGAATTAACTGTCCTTTTAACTCACAAAAATCAATCACTCTAAAATCAGAAAGAAAGTGAATGAAAAGTTAATTATTTGTCTATATATTATGTATACATTAATTTTAAGAAAGTGAATGAAAAGTTAATTATTTGTCTATATATCATATAAATTAAATTAAAAAAATATTTTTTTCATTTTAACTAGAGGTAAAAATTTTCGATTCAACACGATGACATGACTCGAACTCAACACGAATTTTATGACATAAACTTGATTATAACTTGACACGAACTTGAAAATGACTTGACACGCGAACAAGAAATATAAAAAGCTCATAATTTTATAACTCAACACGAATCTGACACGACACGACTCGATTATCACCCTTAATCTTAGCCAGCACAAAAAAAAATTAAAAAAATATTAGTTATTTTTATTTCTATTCATTCAATTAAATACAAAAGAAGAAAAATATATGATTCATATTTTTTATCTTTGAAGGAGAGAAAATGTATCTCTCTTACTTTTCATCCTTCTTATTATTCATTCTTCCTATTAAACGGAGCATTACACAATATATGGCGGAATGTCTCAAAAAGTAATTATCAACTTGTTTTATAATGTCTCATATCATAGAGGCAAAGTGTAACAAGAGACAAAGTAAATAAAACAAAAAAGAGATGCTTCGTCCTAGAATCTGTGCATGGTCTGGAGGCATCAAATCAACTAGAGATTCTTACAATGAGATACGTTATGTAGTAAACAAGTCCAGATTGACTAGTAATTAGGGTGGTCTAGTGGGATATCCATAACATTTTTTATTTTGAAGTTGCAAGTTCGAGTTTTGGAGTCTTCATTGAAACTTGGTGGTTAGTCGCTATGTTAGTCTAATTAGGTCTGATCCTGAGAGGTGTTCCAGACGCGATCAGACGCCTTATAATCCCAACGGTAATGGCCTATTGAGGTGGTCGCTAAACGCTATTTCTTTTTCCCACATCTTTTTCACGAGCAAAAAAAAACAAAAAGTCTAGTTTGCAATACATAGCATGACAACGTTAGATAGTTGTACGTATGACATGCCTCAATTTTCTGGGTAAGGTCGTAGTTATTAAATTTGATGAAACTATTAATTGAAAAAATGATAAAGTAATAAAAAAAAGTAAAAAAATAAACAAATTGTAAATGCGACATGTTTCTATTGGTTGAAAAGTGAATGTATAACTTCAATGGATAACTTAACTGGTAATAAAGATGAATTATAAATTTAGATGTCCTGAGTTCGAATTTTGTCAACTCCTTAGGGTCAAACCATGAAGGATTAATTAATTTTCATGAATACCCTAGTCCTAACATAGATGGTCTGTATTTGGCCGAACCGGGGAGAGAATTAGTCAAGGTGTGTGTAAGCTAATTCGGACATTTTTGACCATTAAACCGAAAAAAAAAAAAGAAAAGAAAAGTGGATGTACGGAATCGAAAAAGTGATTTTCTGTATCATAATGAGATCCCTTTTTTTTTTTTTACCTATATATATATCCAATAAAAACGAAGAAATATGCCCGCACAAAGTTTAAAACCCATCCCCATACATCTTTTGATTCCCCCAAAATTCCCCCCTTCAACACCTGCCACTGCCTCCTTCCCCTCTCTCTCTCTTTGTTGCTTCCTGCTAGGCCTCTTAACGGATCGGATCTATACTATTTCGAATCCGAAGCCGTTAAAAAAATTCGATTTTGCATCCAATTTGTATATTCGACGGATTCTAAAATTTGTGTCCACATCTAAATTCGTTTACAATTGAACATCTGATCCAATAATCCGGTCCGATCTGATTATAACAAAAAATTAGACAATAATATTAACTAAACTCTGACAAAATTTCACTAAGAAAAAACACTATTAGTTGATTTCTATAAAACAATTACTTAAGTCCAACAATATCAGACAAATCTACTCTTACCTGATGAATTGCGTATGAAGTCCTTGAAACCCTAGCTCGTCATTCAAATTTAGGCAGATTATTGGTTGATTAGAAACCCAAAATATTAGAGCTTTGATTGCCCATGAATTTTGCCCCACTTTTTGTGTTGATTTTCACCAANGGGGGGGGGGGGGGGGGGGGGGGGGGGGGGGGGGGGGGGGGGGGGGGGGGGGGGGGGGGGGGGGGGGGGGGGGGGGGGGGGGGGGGGGGGGGGGGGGGGGGGGGGGGGGGGGGGGGGGGGGGGGGGGGGGGGGGGGGGGGGGGGGGGGGGGGGGGGGGGGGGGGGGGGGGGGGGGGGGGGGGGGGGGGGGGGGGGGGGGGGGGGGGGGGGGGGGGGGGGGGGGGGGGGGGGGGGGGGGGGGGGGGGGGGGGGGGGGGGGGGGGGGGGGGGGGGGGGGGGGGGGGGGGGGGGGGGGGGGGGGGGGGGGGGGGGGGGGGGGGGGGGGGGGGGGGGGGGGGGGGGGGGGGGGGGGGGGGGGGGGGGGGGGGGGGGGGGGGGGGGGGGGGGGGGGGGGGGGGGGGGGGGGGGGGGGGGGGGGGGGGGGGGGGGGGGGGGGGGGGGGGGGGGGGGGGGGGGGGGGGGGGGGGGGGGGGGGGGGGGGGGGGGGGGGGGGGGGGGGGGGGGGGGGGGGGGGGGGGGGGGGGGGGGGGGGGGGGGGGGGGGGGGGGGGGGGGGGGGGGGGGGGGGGGGGGGGGGGGGGGGGGGGGGGGGGGGGGGGGGGGTAGGGATGGTAGTGGACCGAAAAAAATAGGTATTCATCCAAACCCGCCTCGTTTGGACCGGGGATGGACTATACGTATTGGACGATAGTTGTATACGGGAATACCCG